GCGCTCTTAATACAATTCTTATATATTTAGTTACCAATTCATGATAAATTAGTTTAAAGACAGACTCTGTCCTGAAAGAGGAAAGCATTAAAATCTATTCTTTTTTGTTTTGTCATTAATTTGTTGCTGCCCTGATGTCATCAATGACATTCATTCTCCGGAGAGCCTTTATTAAGGTTTGAAGTTCTTGTCTGCGCTTCTTTTACAAATTTACAAAATATAAAGACTTGAGTCCCCGCTAAAGAACTTGTTTTCTAGGAATACTTGCTTAAAGGATGAGATTTGGGACGTTAATTGGATCGTTTTTGAATGATGTGGATTAGACTGGTTGTGTTAGGTCCACACAGTGAAGTAGCACTCAGCTACTGAAGAACATCTATGTGCACTGATAAGAAAAGATAACCAAGATATATGGGAGGTGGGGAGCAACTTGGAAAATTCTCTGCGAATGTGCATTTTAACACCATTTAAAAAGGCATCTCTTGTGGGAGTGTTAGATTTTCTGTAAACTTGTTTGGAAATGAACATTGTAAAAGTGTTTCTGACCTATGGCTTCTAAAAATGTCTGTCCTAAGGACATAATTGGAACTGTAGGCAGAGATTTATGCACAAAGATGCTGTGTGACAGTGTTGTTTGTGAGATGCAACCGTTGGGTATAATGAATCCGTTATGATGCTTCCCGATTGAGACTGTGCCCTGGGGATTAGCATCTGTGAAATGTACTGAAAGAGTTAGAATTGCCGCCTGAGGTGTGTGCTCTAAAGATCGGAGTCCTGGTGTGGTGTTGTGGTATAAAGAACTGGACCGCAAGGTTGGTGGTTCAAATTCACCAGCTGCTCCTGGGAAACACCCTAACAACAGTAACCATAAAGATAAACGTGTGACCCCTAAGGGCTCGGATTCTGTGTGTATGTTGTGTGACCCCCTAAGGGCTTGGATTCTGTGTGTATGTTGTGTGTGTTCTCAGTGGGTGTGTCAGGAATCAGGCTGTGCAGGGGTTGGTTATCCTGAAAACACCACGAGCCCATCTCCCCAGAGGGTTCCCCCCACCCCCACCCCCCGCAGTGTGACTCTAACATGAAAAGAGGCAAATGCCTTTTTATTTAATAGGGCCACAGTTACTGAGGCTTCCTAGACAAAGCCAAACAACTGTGGAATCGCTTTACTATGAGCTTGGGTCCAGGGTTCCTGGGATAGCTTAGCTAGCTGGTGTAATAGTTCACAAGCATATGGGGTTCGTTTGGTGAGTAGCTTCTATTCTAAGTGGCCCCTAACAACTATTGTTCTCCACTCATATGGAGCAAAAGAAGATGAGGGAAATGAAAGGCTAGTCCATGAGACTAACAATTAGCCCACGTGATCCACAGACTCTTTATCTCATCTCGAAGAAATAAATTGTGTCCAGCTACTGCTAATGACCATTATGACCAGAGCCACAATGAAAGTTCCCCGATCGAATGGGAACAAATTGCAGAGCAAAACCAAACTCTGATTCCTTTAAAAAGCCAGGCCTGCTGGTCTGGTGGAGACTAGAGGAACCCCTGAAGCCCCCTGTCCCCACTCCTACAGGATGGCTGTGCTGCTGCTGTCTCTGCCCAGTCTCCCTACTGACTTGTAGAGTGGACGCTGTCTAGGTCATTCCATTTCCAGTGGTATGTCTGGAAAGTCAGAACCTTTAACAACGTCGTCATTATTATATTTTGCAAATCCTTAACATCAGCTGCTATTCAGTGTTATAATCTCCCAGATTGTTTCTCTCCAATTTATTTTTTTAAAGTGATTTGACTCAGGATCCACTGGAAGGGTTATGTGGTCTCTGGGTTTATGTGCAGAAGTCTTAATTGTTGACGAAGTTGAAGTTCACATTTCTTACCTTCGGGATTTTGCTGATTACCTGGGGGTTAGTTCTGTAAACCTTGGGCTGCCCCCCAGCCTTGTGGCCTCCTTGACTCTGATTTCAGTAGTGACATAGCATTGTTAGTATTAATCTAAAAAATACATGGGTGTTCATCTCTCAGAATGTGAAAGACCGTGTCTGACGGGGAGGTGCACGTGCATGTGTGTGTGTTTGGACACCTGGTGTTTGGACACCTGACGGGGACGTGCGTGTGTGTGTGTGTGTGTGTGTGTGTGGACACCTGACGGGGATGTGCGTGTGTGTGTGCGCGCGCGCGCGTGTGTGTGTG